GGCTAACGTTAGCAAGTCTGCAGCAGCCAGGGCTGACGTTAGCAAGTCTGCAGCAGCCAGGGCTAACGTTAGCAAGTCTGCAGCAGCCAGGGCTAACGTTAGCCTGTCTGCAGCAGCCAGGGCTGACGTTAGCAAGTCTGCAGCAGCCAGGGCTGACGTTAGCAAGTCTGCAGCAGCCAGAGCTGAAGTTAGCAAGTCTGCAGCAGCCAGGGCTAACGTTAGCAAGTCTCTCTGCATAGCCTTGTTTGAAGTACTGCTGGCTATGACGGCGAGTTTTTTGTTTTATTTGGCAAAATGTTAATTTTAACTATGTTAACACTAAAAGCCTCAATGCTCAATTACGATTTTTTTTTTGTAAAATCCGTTTTTTTTTTTTTTGTGTTGCCTTTCACGTTTCCAAATATATGTCACTTGTATGTGATCTCCTGTGTAAACTGCATTCATACAGCTTAATTGTCCCGCATGCGCAGTAGAGGACGAAATGACGTCACAAGCATGCGTGCTCTGTGTACACGGAAGTAAATATGCATCTCGTGATCTTTCCCAACTTTAAAAATACAATCTTTTCAAGATGGTTAAACATAGATACTGTTCTCCGCTTTATCATCCGACGCGGTTGTTTTTTTTTTTTTGTCCGCTTCTGCATCACAAGACACAGAATAGTGACCTTTGTCGGGTATTAATGATAAATGCGACCTGGCCGTTTAGACACAGGTCGCAATTAAAAAGATCAGATGCATATCGGATTCAGCACAACCGAGCCAAGTGTTCTGGGTCGCACTGGAAAAAATCAGATCCATATTGTTCAGACTGTCATGATAAGATCAGATTCAGGTCGCCATGTGGGCAAAAAAAACGGATTTGTGTGACTTCAGCCTGCGGTGTGAACGTAGCCTCTGATTTGTGTTTATCTGACTGTTAATCATTATTCCCCCATTAAATGAAAAATTCATAATTTATTATTATCTAGAGACTACGAATAACAGGAGGTGAAATGTTGCTTTGAATGTGGTGATGTCATCAGTACGCTTCTGTTCAAATCAACCCAGATTAATTATGCGTTCTCCCTGAGTCGAGACTTTCCTGTGTTCTACTCAAGAACGGACTTGGTGAGAATACGAGTCCGTGCTCATGTTTTTGTGAATTGAGAAACCAAAATAAAGTTGTTTAAAAGAATCTTTAACCCAAACCGATGTTGCTGATGTGAACAGAAATGAATTCACGGTGTTTCTCCACCTCTGGACTCAAGAACCGGTTCTAAAGTTTTACCTCTGTGGTTCTGTGTTCAGACAGGGCACGGTCAACCTCCCCCCCCTGGAGTTCAAGCCCGCTCTGTTGATCGAGACCTTCAGTGTGAACGCCGTGGTGATGGAGAAGTCCACAAGCTGCCCTCAGGGCCCCACGGCGGCTCCACTCTCCTTCCACGACCTCAACCGCCGCCACTATAACACCTTCCACTGCGACTTCACCACCGCCTGCCAGGCCATCAGCCAGCGCGTGGACATGGCGCTGGTCCGCCTCATCCACCAGTTCAGCACCATGATCGACGACATCAAAGCCACGCAGACCGACATCAAGCTGAGCCGCTACACCGCCGGCTCCACCTCCCCGACGCCGACCTTTAAGGCCCGGCCGTACCGACACATCCTGTCCTCGGACTTCAGCCGGAGCTCCCGGGGCAGCCTGAACGGAGCGGGCCGCGGCGGGACCCAAACGCTGAAAGGAAGGAGAGCGGGCGGAGGAAGTGGGGCGCCGCCTAACGGACCTCCGTCAGGCATGGACACGCTGGGGAGGCGGGAGCCAAGGGGGCGGAGCTCCCTCGGTCGCTCAGAGCGCCGCACCTCTAAGGTAGAAACATCACAGCCGCCTGAAGTTTTATCATCATCTTCTCCCCAGAAACCGAAGCTGCTGTACGCCGTAGGTGTATGGAGAGAAATGAGTTCCAATAATATTTAAAGTAAAAAAGATTTTTTTATCTTGAAGTAAATTTTAAAAGTGGGAAAAAATAGAACTTTGAAAATATTTTCAGTACTTTTAATGCACATGCTAAATTTCAGCCAGTATTTCCACAGTTTGCTGTTGTAAGATTATATGTTTTTTCTTTTTTCTTCTAGATTTTATTTTTCTGATAGTTTTATTCAGATTTTATTTTATGTTTATCTATATTTGTTTTCACTGTTTTTGAAGACCAATTACATGGTTTTTAGATTGCAGTTTATCGATCCAACCCTCTACTCAGCTGGGCGGAGCTTCTTTTCCATTGGTCAGCTGGTCGACCAATAGAAAGGAGGCTGCACAGCGTGACGTTAAAGGTAGCATCTATTGCTCAGGGCACAGACCATCCAGAGGTGTAGAGGCTGAAATCTGTGAAAGAAAGCTTAGAAAATTAAGCTTCCTACTTCCCCTAAAAAAAGTAAAGAAAAAAAAAAATCTGTGAAATGACATCAACAAAAAGATTTAAAAAAAAAACTATAAAAATAGAGATGGAACTGTTACGTAAACATTATGAATAATTCTCAAACCCCAAGAGAGTTTGCAGAAATTCACTGTCAGAACCAGAAGTTTATTGGAAGCCTTTCAAAGTAAAAGCGAAATAAAAATGAAAGCTAGTATACCTAAAATATTTTACATTCCGGTGTTTATTTCCTTGGTCTTCACAATATCAATATTTTGTCTTTGTATGTGTTTAATAATTTTTATATATAAAATCTAATTCCAGTTCAACTGGATAAGGTAAAAAAAAAAAAAAGCAACATGATATCAAAATAACAAAATTAACTCAGCATTTTATAAAGAAATCTCTAATGTTGTTTGCAAGTATTATATTATATATTAGCAAGATGCGATCCTTCCGCCACAACAATCCCGCCCCCTTGATAAACTACCAATCACATTCACTTTATTCACTCGTGTAAAGTCGGGGACCACTCGGGAGAATTCTGAAATGGAACGGTTGGAACGGCCGATTCCCTTCAACTTTAAATGAAAGAATTAGCTGGCTATTTGCTGTGTTGTTGCACATGCGGCCATCGCATTCCCTAATATTGTAACAAAGTTCTCCCCATAATCAGCTGAGGAATGAGTTTGTTTCTGCTGCAGGTGTCCAGGAAGGGCTCTCGAGACGTGGCCGACCACATGCCCATCCAGATGGACGACTCGGACTCCATCACAGTGTCGGAGCAGAGCGAGCCGTCGGCAGAGTGCTGGCAGAACATGTACAAGCTGCTCAACTTCTACTCCCTCATCTCTGATCCCACCGGCATTCTGGAGAAGAGCTCCCCAGAGAACTGCCAATCAGGTGGAAACCCGCCCCCCCCTGCCAGGCCACAGCTTCAAGCCGTGTTAGATGCTGATCTTTACAAATCTATAATCGTTGTTTTGTTTTTCTTGCATCATGTCCTGCAGAAGGTGGCCGGCGTCCCTCCGAGCCGCTGTGTAAAGTTATCTATGAAAACGAGCAGCAGGAGCCCGCCACGCCCAACAAGCCGGCCGGCGGGCGGCGGCGCAGCCTAGTGAGCACCGAGCCTCAGCACGTCACGCTGATTGTGTTCGGCATCGGCATGGTGAACCGCACGCATCTGGAGGCCGACATCGGCGGGCTGACCATGGAGGCGGAGCTGAAGAAGATCCACGGCTCCTTCACCCTGAAGGAGAAGATGAAGGGTGGGGTTACTGATGCCTCGCTGGCACGCAGAGCGCCCCCTGGGGGACAGGAGGTTTGATGCCATGTCTTTTTGTGCTGTCTGCGCAGACATCCTTCACCAGAAGATGACAGAGACGTGTGCTTCGGCTCACATCGGAGGAGTAAACATCGTCCTGCTGGAGGGGATAACGCCCGACATCCAGTACGTAGACCCGCCTCCAAGCTGCTGTCATCACTTTAACTGTTAATAAAGTGTAGTTAAGGAGGGTTAATAGGTGTGATTATACCTTAGAGATGCCCCGGGCTGATATCGTCTAATTAACTGATTGGACATCAGATGAACGACGTCGATCCAGTTACTTTAGTTTTTATCAAAATCAAACAGCATTCTAGAAACTGCAGCTCTATTTTTGCCCTGGTTGCATCATCAGGCAGAACAGCTGGTGAGGATTTCTGTTTGTGATCCTTCCTGTAACGATTCTGATGTCAGGCCTGATGCGTGGCGCTTATGGCTGCCGTGTTTGGTTCATTAATTCACCTCTGGTATGAAATCAGTAGCAGGCGTCGGTATCGATGCCTATTTTAGTATTTATTATATCCAGTTGATCATGGTTTTAAATCTGCTTTAAGGTAAATTAGTTTGAAATTAACATTTAATTTAAATTGATCATTTACTAAACATGAAGAAATGAAAAATGTTTCACTTTTTTTTCAATCCTTTAAAGCCAAAATATGATATGATTGGAAACGAATGAATAAAAATAAACATCAACTTTGAAAAAGCCAAATTTATTTTACATGCAGGATTTTAATGCATTTATCACAGATTTCTCTCCAAGCGTCTGAATGTATAATTCAGGTTTTATATCACACTCATGTTTTTAACCCGTTTATCAGATACGATTCTCCTGAAAGGTTAAAGGTTATTGTTGCTGTTGTTTAAAATCTGCCATCTGATCAGTCGTAGTCAGCTTTTCTATCTGCATAGCTCTATAACCTTCTCCTCTTGTCTTCCTTCCACTCTGCTTCCTCCTCCCACTAACTGCACAGACTGGAGGACTTTCCAACGTCTCCCACCAGCACGGCTAAGCAGGAGTTTCTGTATGTGTGTCGGCCTCAGTGGAGCCGTGACTGCATCCTTCATTGGTTCACTTCTCAGGGTTCAGTCTAGGGCTGCAACTGTTTTTTCAAATTAATTAATCTGTTCACTATTTTTTCAATTAATAAATCAATAATCTGATAGCCAAAGGTTCCTTATAAAGGATTTTTTAACGAAATAAAACCAGTTGGAACTAAAACTTTTTCACTTGAGGACTTCTGGATTGAGGATTATTGACAGAGGAGAACAGATTTTTTTTTATCTTAAATCCAAAATGTTTATATATATTTATTTTTCTACAATCTTGGTTTACAGTAGCAGCCATTCAACATTTCCCCACCTTCCTTGACTGGTCCTTGGATGGTCCTCTACAATTCTTTTTTTAAAGTTGTAGTGAAGTCATATTTAAATGTCAAATCATTCTGGCTTAAACATATATATATAAATGTACTCTTTATCAGACTGACCCAGAATTGAGAAAATATCTGTTTTAAAAACATCCAGTCTTAAAATCTGTTGTTTTCTTTCCATTATCTTCTGCAGACCAGTTAGTTCTACGTCAGCCTGAACACCTAAATTCGGCCAATTGTATATCAACGGTCATCTATCAATCAAATTTTTTCGGTCATAGCATCTTGATTCATATGTCGCAGCTAATATATGCAACAGCTGAAATCAGAATAATGTCCTTTCCCATTGAGTTGCGTCCCAGTGTTCACGGGGATGGACGTCTGTGTCTTCAGCAGGCGTAGAGCTAACAGAACTGGCAGCGTTGCGAGGCAAGGGCTCAAACATGTACGGCTGGAAGCCTTCTACGCCAAACCAAGCTTCTGCCGCCCTGGCGTCCTCTTCCACAACATCTTCGTCCCCGCTTTCCTCCTCTAAATAAAAAATGGATGACGGAGGAGACTCATCCACGACCTCCGACACTAAACTCTCCTCCTCTTGCATGTTTCCTCTGTCCATAGCGTTCCTTGACAGTGTCGTTTCTAAGTCACCAATTTAGTGCTACTTGGTCCCAATGGAATTTCCCATTGGGAACCTACTAGCACTAAGTTGCTAACTGGTTAGCAAGATGCTTCCCACAAACCAGCTACAGCCAAACTTGCTTGTGAACCTTCCGCCACAACAATCCCGCCCCCTTGATAATCGACAAATCACATTCACTCCTGTAAAGTCGGGCACCACTCGGGAGAATTCGGAAATGCAACAACTGGAACGGCCGCTTCCCTACGACTTCAATCATCAATCTTTGTACTAAAATATTCTTTCTGTCATGATTTATGGACATTAATATCTAAAGAGAAGCACCATCTCCTGGTCAGAACCTGTAATTCAGTGAAAGGGTGGAGTCAGAGTAAAAAAAAATGCACACCCCTTCCCTATCAAACCCCAGCCGAATGGCCATTTTGAATGGCTGCTATTGTAATTCCTGCTATAAGTGGGTCGCTCCAGTTAAGGATTAATCGATAAATCAGATTAATTGTTTCAGCCCTAGTGCTGTCTGAATGAAAGGTGCTGATGGATGATCTTTGTAGAGTCTGTGATTCTGATCGTTTTATGTCTTTGGATCCATCTCATCACTCATCCTTTCCACAGTGCCGCTGCCACATTGAACGCTGTCCTGACTGCATGATGTTTCACATCATCCCACCTTCATCCTCGTATCCACGCCTCCTCAGGATCAAAGCTTCCTTTCTATCCTCACCTGTCCTCTCCTGTGTTTCAGAACCGTTGTCAAATGCACCATCGCCAAATCTCAGGCGCTGTACAGCGCCCAGCGTGGCCTGAAGACCAACAACGCAGCAGTCTTCAAGGTGGGCTCCATAATGATCAACATCCCCCAGCACCCGGCCACCCTGCACAGCATGATGGTGCGCAGCTCCCACCAGCTCTCCAAGCAGATCTCCGACCTCATCCGCCAGCCCTCCAACACGTAGGTTTCCCCTTGGTTTTCTTCTTCTTTGCAGTTTGCTGCCATTTTATTGACCGCCGCAGCTTTCCCCTTTTGGAAGAAAGCAGAAACTGATTTCTAAATGGATCCTCACAGCGTCAGACCCACGGATCTCTATTTATTCACTGGATTGCTGATTACCCATTGGTAGTACGGGGTTGACGTGAATATCAGTTAGGCTCTGCTTAAGGATTAAAGGCGCCCTCTGGTGCAGTACAACACTAAAATAAGTTATTTCTAAGCGAACGTTATCAGTGGATCTGATAGAACAAATTTTTATTGAATAAACCAATAATCTTTCATTAATCATAAGGTGATGTTTTGTTAAAATCCGTAATTTTAACCTTAAATCTCTGGATGATTTAATTTAACCAACTCTAAAATAACCTGATGTGATGTGATCTGACTGTGTAGGAACCCTGTTTCCAGGTAAGGCCTGAAGCCTCTGCTGTTTGTAATCCTGATGTTGCTCCAGTTTTTCTACCTTTTGCTTTATTCCTGGCTTTATGTGGAAATGATCCCCTTAAAAAACATTGGTCTTAGATGGGGTTTAAAGCCCCACCCTATGATTTTCTCTGGCTTTACTGTTCCATCTCTAAGTTTTGTTTTTCTGATGTTGACCTTTTCTGATATCAGCCAACCTCACCGAGAGGACACACCCACTCCCCAACCTTCAGACAAAGCCTCCAGCATCAACCAGACCCCCGTAGAGGCCAACGAGTTCCCGCAGCTTCCTGAGGGACTGGAGAAGAAGCCCATCGTGCTCAAATTCAGCGCCATCATGGACGGCATCACCATCGGTGCGGCGCTGTTGCCTTCGCTGAAGGCCGAGTACAAAATGGGTCCAGTGAAAAGCCACGGGATGACAGGTGGAGCTGCCCCCAGAAACCCCGACGTCTCGCCTCTGTTCAACCACAGACTCCTGATGCCTTTCCTCCTCTTCTTTCAGGAGCCCAAACCAGTTTCACCTTCGAGCTGCCAAACCACAAGCTGTGCTTCCAGTCCAAAGTGTCCCCAGTGGACATGTCCACCATGTCTCCCTCGGCCAGCCTCACTTTGCCTCCCATCACCATGTCAGGGGAGTACATCATGGAGGACCACGAGAGCCACTCGGACCAGAGCTGGGCTCCGGACGACTTCCCCACCAAGCAGGGGAACTACCTGCAGGGAAACTACCTGCGATGCGTCGCCGAGGTGAGAAACGCAGTTGGACCCAGCGCCGCTTCCTTCTGAAGATCCTCCTGAAACCTCTGAACTGTCGGTTCTTCTTTCCGATGCACAGATTGGCTCCTTCGAACACAACCTGACGACAGACCTGCTCAACCACCTGGTGTTTCTGCAGAAGGTCTTCATGAAGGAAGTGAATGAAGTCATCCAGAAGGTTTCAGGTAGGTGAACTTAAGGCTTTTATTCTAAAACATTCTAGAGAGAAGTTTACATCCTGTCTCCACAAGCAGGGAGGATTTAGACTCTAACCCCCAGATTCCACATCCTCCTCCCCGCTAAATTAAGTCCTGTGCCTCACTTATTGAGTCGTGTTAATCAATAGCCTCATTTCCACTACCCATTTAAAACCGTGCTGAGATCGGTCCGAGCACGGTAACCAAGGTAACTGAGTGTAAATGGTACGCAGAACTGAACCAGACCTTGCCAGACACAACTGAACCGCGGGAACATGGTACTAGTTCATCAGTGGGGCTTGGCGTGGTTCAGTTCTGGCTCAGTTCTCAGATAACAAAGACAACATGAACAGAACGCCTCATGTCCTTAAAGGCAGTAGTAGCAGCTCAACAACAACTGCTGCTTACCTTATCAAGGCTGCACTTTAAAAAATGAAATTGTCTAGTAAGCTGTTCTAAACAAAATTAAAATAAAAATTCCTGAAATGTTACGGGCGCCACCATGTAGGTTTGCTTGTGTCCCTCTAGAGAGCAGTAGAACCGTAGTTCGCCACTAGGAGGCGAGGAACCATGTTAGCCTGATGTGTAAACGGTCGTAAAGAACCGAGCTCGGCACAGCAAAATGATCCAAGCTCGGTCTGAACTTGGCACGGATCGGTTTTCAGAGGGTAGTGGAAATGAGAGCTTTTCCACATCCACCTCTACTCCTCCACATGTCACCGTCCACATACGTTTTCTCCATCCGTCACTGTCAAAATACGTAGACGAGCTATTTTTTGCTCCGCTCCAGTCCTTCGGAAGCCGGCCAGGTCAAGATCAGCAATTGTAATCATACCAAACAGGAAAAAGAATGCCAAGAAGATATGGTAACCACCGCTCTGTAACTACAAATTAGAGCATAGTTCTTGTATATTCCCAAAAACTACAACCGTTTAATTCAATTATTGGAGGCAAATTATTGGTACATTCAACATACCCGGTACTTCAACATACCCGGAAGCAGATTTCTCATCTCCAACAAAATATTTATTTTATACCGAGAGGCTTAAAGTTTCTTGAAATCCAGTCACACACATTCCAAAAAAGTTAAACAATCCATTGGCCTTTGTTTGCAAGTTTGAAGACGTTTCGCTTCCCATCTAGGAAGCTTTTTCACTTCAAAACGTCAGAATTAGCGTTGAGTTCAAAGCTTTATAGAGTAGCCTAACACCTTGTTTTGGCTTATAATATATATTTATTATATTTAAAAAAAATGTGTCTTAATCAGGATCATTAGGTGGGTGTGACAGCACTCTAGCGCCCTCTATTGACCAGCCGCCACTGGTACAGGATTTACTCCTATAACTGTGCTGCGGCAGTGACCCAGTTCCCCTCACAGAACCGGACCCGTCCCTCTGGGCTCCAGCACAGTATTGATAGTAATCGTCTGAACTCGCTGAGGCGGTTTGGTCTTTCGGCTGAAGCGGCGCCTTCAGCATCTCTCCGTGTGTCTTCGCTGCAGGAGGCGAGCAGCCGATCCCGCTGTGGAACGAACACGACACCTCAACGGACGCCGACAAGCCCAAGATTCTGCTTTACTCACTCAGCCTCATGTTCAAGGTACGTCCTGTTCAGACACGCTGAGCGGCGGGGGGAGAGGAGCTCTGAGGTCTGAACCTCAGCTGCTGTTCTGTCAGATGCGCATACCCCATCAGACCAGCAAAGCCATAGTTGATACCCGTTTATCTCTTTAGTTTTATAGGAAAAATATACTTCAAACTACCTCAATGGCCGTGTATCCCTATAGTCATGTACAAAAAACGATTTAATTACTTACCTTTTGTGTTTTTATCAAGGGTATGGTGGTCTGACCTTAAATAGTTTTTTTTTTTGTACATGACTAAAGGGATAAACGTGACTAGCATATGCTTATCTGACGTCTTCCGCATGCGTATTGACTATGGGTGTGTTGGTCTGAGGGGGTATGCTGGTCTGGCAGAACACCGCCTCACTGAAGAATGACTTGTTTTCAGGGAATCCAGATGACGGCCACTACGCCGTCGATGCGGGCAGTGCGCTTCGAGACGGGCCTGATCGAGCTGGAGCTGTCCAACAGGATCCAGTGCAAGACACAGCCAGGGGGCAGCAGAAGTTACCTCAAGCTCTTCGGCAAATGCCAGGTGGACCTGAACCTGGCCCTGGGACAGATCGTCAAGCATCAGGTAAGGCAGGTGACGGCGGTCTCGATTCCGAGGCCATATTGGCAGCCATTTTTATTCCTCCTCTGTCCTTCCAGGTGTACGAAGAAGCCGGGTCAGACTTCCACCAGGTGGCGTACTTCAGGACCCGGATCGGTCTGCGAAACGCCCTGCAGGAGGAAATAAGCTGCTCGTCGGACAAGGAGGCTGTGCTGATAACGCTCAACAGGCCCATCGTTTTCGCGCAGCCGGTGGCGTTCGACCGAGGTTAGCTTCTGTTTACCGATGTCTGAGGGAAGTTAAAGCCTTCACACTCCTAACTCCCCCCTTCCCCACCTGTAGCTGTGCTCTTCTGGCTGAACTACAAGGCGGCATACGACAACTGGAAGGAGCAGAGCCTGGCCCTCAACAAGGACATCCACATGGCCACCAGGGAGGTGGTGGACAAGCTGCCCGGCATTCAGCAGACGTCAGCCCAGGCCTTCAGCACCCTCTTCCTGCAGCTCACCGTCAACGACCTGGGAATCTGCCTGCCCATCACCAACGCATCGCAGGTAAGAAAGCAGAAGCAGGCCGGCCGGCGTTGCCCAACACAAACGCTTCCCAGCCTGCCGTCCGCCGCTTTATAGGGATATCAGCATCGTCCCGATAAGTTCCAAACAATCGTGGTTTTTAGTATCTTTATTTAATGAGGTTTTTACCGAATTATTATTTATTGATTTGATTGAGATTTTCCGACTTTTTCTAGAAATGGGAAAAAAAAGCTGAATTCCAGCAAAATTTGGAGGATTACAGAAAAGTTCTGAAATATCTGGTTTAGGTTTTTAACCCAGACAAAATGCAGATGGATGGGTTCTGGATGTCCGTTCTGGTGCTGACCATCGTCCTCTGGACCATAGGCTTAATTTATAGTCGCTGCGTCGAACGGGGAGCAAGGCGCCAAAAGTAACTCAATCATGCTTTGCGTGCCTCAGAGCGTGGACCACGCTCGCAGCCTAAGCGCTAGGTCACGTACCTCCAAAGTTTTGTAGCTTGCCGCGAAACCAGCCTCGTTTCAAATGGGAGGATATAAAGTTTTTCTCCTTGAACACGTTTGCCCGTACCGACATCAAATGATGCAGATGGTTCCAGTGGAACATGGTGGTTAAATGCAGATTTGTTGCTGTTAATTTCATGACTGAAAACAGCTAATGGGGGGGGGGTTACTAAGCTTGTGGTTAAAAACATGGATTTTAGTTTCTGTTTCCATCACAAGAAACGAAGTCTGAAAAAACTACCCATAGTATCCAACGCATTCAGCTAATATTTAGTGAAACAATGTTTTTTTTTATACATTATTTAAAGGAAAAGTTCGGTCAGCAGGGAATAATCAGTGGATCATTATTTATACCTAAAACTAATGTTCATAATGATGTAATGAATTTAGCGTTAATCAGTAAAAAAAGATAATGATAATTTTTTGTCATGATCACAGAAGGAGTCTGGGACAGCTATATTTTTTTTAAATATTTTTTTTAGTTTTTACGGCACTAGTGGCTTGTTTTTGGACAGTAGTCTGACAGGAAACGGGGTACAAGAGAGGGGTAGGAACACAGCTTGGATCAAACCTGGGTCAGCCACGTTGAGGACTAAGGCCTACATACATGGTTCATGTCCGCTAACCGCCACCAAAGCATGCTCCAAGGGAGCGTCCATTTTTGCCCAAATATATTAACACCTCCCTCCTGCCATCTTCCGGCAGTGACGTCACGGTGCGGTAAGCCTAGCGCCATTCTCCCCGCTTTACAAGCAAAATCAATGGGAGCTAATAGACACATCTGAGTAATGTCACCTTTCGTATTCCTGATCCTCCACGGACGGGTTGGTCGTTGGATTGCCAACTTGAAGAGGGAGGATTTGCCA